GTGCTGGCGTCGCTGACGCTGGCGTAGGTGCTGGCGTCGCTGACGCTGGCGTAGGTGCTGGCGCTGAGCAACAGCGCGAGGAGGCCGCTGGGCCTCGATTCCAGTATGGATCGCGACGTCGCAGACGTCGTCTTGAGTATGCGGCCCCGCGGGCCGGGATAGCGAGCCTCGCTCCGCTACCACTGTGATATGGATATCGCTGATATCGTTTGTCGAGGAATCGCGCGGCGAAACTCTCTGCGTAGCTCTAAGGCCAAGGGCCCTAGTTCGAAACAAAACGGCAGCGGCACGAGCGGGCGTGAGGGATAGAGCGGGGATACAGGAAGGGCACAGGGAGTGAGCGGGAATCACACGCTGGACGGGCCAGGCATCTCGCCTGAGGCGTCCTCAACATGTATGTTCTTGAAGCTGGACAGCTCCAATATAGAGAAGGGCAGGTGGTTTCACAATGTGGCTCTCGCTGTAGCGCCACGCACGCTCATATAAAAAACAGCTACATGGATGGAGCGCTGGTCGCTTCCAACTCGCGGTTCTCGCCTAAGCATCCAACAAGAACACGGACCGAAGAACATGATGTTTGGGGCTCCCGCTTGACCATGCCTACTACGGTGCGATCAGAAACCTACAAGTGCGCAACATGTTCATGGTTGGAAGGCGGCGCCTTTGCAACATGGGGCTATCGCTGAGCCATTCCGTGTGCTCCCTAGCATTTCGCATAACTCGAAGGATGGATGACGGATTCTATTCAAAGCGAGGCTCTCGCCCGAGTGCGGCAGGCCCATAGGAAGCTAGCCTTCCTCCTCCTCCTCCTCCTCCTCCTCCTCCTCCTCCTCCTCCTCCTCCTCCTCCTCCTCTCCTCCTCCTCCTCTCCTCCTCCTCCTCCTCCTCTCCTCCTCCTCCTCCTCCTCCTCATCCTCCTCCTCCTCCTCCTCCACCCCTCCTCCTCCTCCTCCTCCTCCTCCCCCCCTTTTTTCTCCCACTCTTTCTCCTCCTCCTCCTCCTCCTCCTCCTCCTCCTCCTCCTCCTCCTCCGCCTCCTCCTACTCTGTCATCCCTGTCTATATGCATCAAGCAGGTTGTCGAGCTCGCCTTGTCTGCGCGGACTAAAGCCCTCGAATCATGGCTAAGGCCCGCCAATTCGCCAGCGGCGGAGAAATACCTCCCGCCCTAAACCCTTTCCCTTTGTGAGTTGCATCCTCGTTGCATACACACTCGTGCGAAAAACGACGAGCATCGAGGAGTGACAACAACGGACGGCCAGTAACGAAGTGAAGGCGCACGCGGCCCACTCGCGCCCATGGTCATCAATGTCTGCAGCGCACGGGAGCGCCAGGGAGCGCCTGGTCATCAATGTCTGCAGCGCACGGGAGCGCCAGGGAGCGCCTGGCAATGCCGTGCAGCGCCTTGAGCGCTTGGGAGCACCTGGGAGGAGCGCGTGTACCCGAGGGCGCCTGGGAGCGCCTGGGAGCGCCTGGGACACCTGGTGGCGCTTAAGAGCTTGGGAGCGAGCGCCTGGGAGCGCTTGGGAGCGCCTGGGGACGCTTGGGAACACATCGGAGCGCTTGGGAGCGCCAGTGAGCCCGGGGGGTCGCCACGCAGCGCCTGGGATCGCCAGAAAGCGCCTGGGAGCGCTTGGGAACGCCTGGGACCGTGTGAAACCGCCTGGGAGCGCTCGGAAGCGCCTGGAAGCGCCTGTGAGTAAGCGCTTGGGACCGCCGATGTGCACCGCATGGCAGTCGTTTAAACCAGATGCGCGAAACACGGATGTGCGCAGCAGAGATGCTTTTGCACTGGTCAGGTCAAGAGTTTGATGGAGACTCGAAAATTTGATGTGCAGAAAATGAAGTGCTGGCAATAGACCGAGCTGGCTTCGGGACCTGGCTTAGGGCAAAACGGAATTACATAAGCATAACAACTCGGAGGTCCGCTGGACCCCCCTGGCGGCGCCTCCGGCGCCGCCCCTGGCGCGCTTCGCGCGCCAGGGAGGGGGGTCCAGCGCCGATCCCAGAAATCCGCGCGGACCTCCGAGTTTTCATGTTTGTGCCATTCTTCGTTCCCCTGTGGCTGGAGCAGGGCTTGGGGCTTCCAGATACATCGAAAACAGCGGCAAAAGACGAGAGAGGAAGAGAGGCAGGGAGGCACGGGAGAGGCGACGGTCGGCGGCGCGCCCAGGGCGGGGAAGAGTCCCGAGAGGTATCCCCAAAAGCCTTCCCCGGCGACACAGAAACAGCTGTTCGGAAGCCGCGAGGGCTTCTGAGAAGCCCGCGCCGCCTGGTGAGCGTTTTCTTATTCGGCGTTTCGATATTGGGCGGGACGGGGGGGGGAGGGCGGGGTCTGGCTCTGGACCTCTGCTTAGCACGACTGTTTGCAACAGTGTGCCCACTGTGGGAGGGACTGCACCTGCTCGAAACACAGGCGCCAAAAACAGCCAAGATCTACTCCACAGGGGGGGAAGGGGGGGGTGCGAGGGCGCGCGCCGAGAAGCAAGATCTCCTTCTCACTCCCCCCCCCCTCGCTCGCCGCCGAGAGGGGGAAGCGCAGCCCCCCGGGGGAGGAGGCAGGGCCCACGGCTCCGAGGCCGCGCTTCGTTCCCGGCGTGGGCCCTCGGAGGTCTGGACCCCTTCGCCGGGACTGGCTCTCCGTCCCGAACTGTTCCTGGGGGGCGTTTTTTGACTCGGCGTGTCGACATTGGGCGGCAAGGGGGGGGCGGTCTGGCTCCAGGCCTCTGCTTAGTGCGACTGCTTGCAAGAGTGCGGCCTCTGGGGAGACTCCACCCGCTCGAAACAGGCGCCAAAAAACAGCCAAGATCTACTCCATGGGGGGTTGGGGGAGGGACAGTTTGGGGGCCCGCGCCGATCGGCAAAAAATTAACAATAAAAAATCAGTTGGCGGTCCTGGAGCCCAGCGAGGGCTCCTGGAGGCCCCAAGGGGGCCAGAGAGCAAACGACACAACCCCACCTACGACCCCAGGGGGCTTACCGTATACCAAGAAATCTGGCGCGGGCTTTTGCATGGTATACGTTACGGCGCCCGATGGGCCTTAGCGCAACATGGAGGGCTGTAGGTGGGGTGGTATCGTTTGTTTGATGGTCGGCAACATGATCTCTCCCGTCGTAATAAAACCTATTCCTTAAGATTGTTGTAGACTGCTCTCTGTTCTGGTCTGCTATGTCTTGTGCGGAGATGTCAGTGCATGATGAGTTGATATGCTCTGTGCGATCCAGGGGTAGCCAGCCGCCTCACACTACCTCCCAATGCCTACCGTGGCCTCCCGCTGCCTCCCGTGACCTCCAGTTGCCTCTCGTTGTCTCTCGTGGCCTGCCATAGCCTTCCGTTGCCTCCCGTGGCCTCCCGTTGCCTTCCGCTGCCTCCCGTGGCCTCCCGTCCATTTGCCGCTCCTATCCCTATCCATCTATCCGTCTATCCATATCCCTATCCCTATCCGTAGCCCTTCCCTTTCCCTTATATCCCCGTCCCAACCCTATATCCCGATCCCTACCCATATCTCCATCCCCATCCCTATCCCTATGCCTAGATCCATCGTTATACCTACATCCCTGGCCCTACATCCCTAGTACTACCTCTGTCTCTCTCCCTGTCCCTAGCCCCTAGCCCATCCCTATCCCCGTCCTCCCATTGTGGCCCCCCATGGTGGCCCCCTATCGTGACCCCCGCCGTGGCCGCCACCGCAACGGTGTAAAATCGTTCGCGGTCTTCTGCCGCAAGGGTGTCATTTCGCAACGAGAGGAGAACTGACTTTCAGGTCAATACCTCGGGTCTCCGGCGTTCGTTCAGGACGATCCGGGCACCCCCCGAAAGTTTGCGGCGAAGCGCGGCTCCTTGAAGGCATCTGGAGGCTGGAAAACATCCGAGACCATCGACAACGTCCAAAAGCCTCTGCAGCAGGTTCGCGTCGTAATGACTTGCACTTTGACTTCTGGCACCGCGGGAATGGTTCAAACTTGCTCGATTGGCCGTTTCCGAAACGTCAGATCGTGCAACATCGACCGATTCTGGGTCGCTGGCGGCGCTCAACATTGAACGCCGGCGGTGGGGTCACCGCAGGTCGACACGACGTGAACCTACCGTAACCTCGGGGAGGGAGGACAGGGGCACGGATGCGGGCCGCAAGAATATACACCACCCTACATTCCCCTCCCTCCTCCACCCTCCTCTTCACCTCGCTTTGCCTGGGAGAGGAAGGGGTGGTGGTGGTGGTGGTGGTGGTGGTGGTGGTGGTGGTGGTGGTGGTGGTGGTGGTGGTGGTGGTGGTGGTGGTGGTGGTGGTGGTGGTGGTGGTGGTGGTGGTGGTGGTGGTGGTGGTGGTGGTGGTGGTCGTGGTGGTGGCGGTGGTGGTGGTGGTGGTGGTGGTGGTGGTGGTGGTGGTGGTGGTGGTGGTGGTGGGGGTGGTGGTGGTGGTGGTGGTGGTGGCGGTGGTGGTGGTGGTGGTGGCGGTGGTGGTGGTGGTAATGGTGGTACTGCTGGTGGTGGTGGTGGCGGTGGTGGTCGTGGTGGTGGTGGTAATTGTGGTGCTGCTGGTGGTGGTGGTGGTGGTGGCGGTGGTGGCGGTGGTGTGTATATATATATATATAAATATAAATCGCTGGGCCCCGTCTCGCTCCGTGCCCGACGCGCGCAGGCCGCACCGCACTGCGCCGGCCCGTCAGGAGGGAGGGCCTTGCCTGCCTGCTGATCGAAGGAGCGGGAGCGTGTCCGGTGCCCGCTTCACGGCACGCGCCGGGCATGCACGGCAATGCCTGCACGGCGTGCATGGCATGGCACTCGCGGCAGCCCCCGAAGAGACTTCCCAGACATCCAGCGTCTCGGAAAAATCGAGACGGAGTTTCTTGATCTTTTCCGGACCCTCGGAGCCCTTACCAGGTACGGCGCGCATGGCATAGCACTCGCGATACCCCCCCCCCCCGAGGAGAAAATCTTTGAGCCCCGTGAAGGAAGAGTGGAGCGGAGGCGCCAGCGGCTGCGCCGAGAGGCGGGCGGGGCCTCGGGATCACCACGTGCCCGTTTTCGCCTTTCCGCTGTCCGGCCAGGCGGACCTCTCGGGGGGGGCGATCGTGGCAGGCAGCGGCACCAAGGCTCGCATATACCCCGCCGCGCCCCTGTGGCAGGGGTACAGGTACGGGGGGGAGCGGGAGGAGGAGGAGGAGGGGGAGAAAGAGGAGGAGGAGGAGGAGGAGGAGGAGGAGGAGTCAAGAGGCCCCGGCTGGCAGACCCCTCCACCCTGGGAGTGGTCGCAGTCTTAGACAGCCGACCACCCCCGGGGGAGCCGCCCTCTTTGAGGAGCGGCGGAGATGTCTGCCAGCTCCCGTTCAACGGGCTCCGGCTGCGGGAGAGACCCGCGCGCACCGCCAGAGGAGGAGGAGAGAGGAGGAGGGAGGAGGAGGAGGAGGAGGAGGAGGGATGAGGACAAGAAAGAGGAGGAGGAAGAGGGCGAGGAACAGGAGGAGGAGGAGGTGGAGCTGGACGAGGAGGAAAAGAGAGGGGGAATAGGAGGAGGAGGAGGAGGAGGAGGAGGAGGAGGAGGCGGCGGAGGAGGAAGAGGAGGAGGACCAGAGTGAAACCTGGGTTAATCCACACCCGGGCCACTCGGGCCTAGCAGGATCCTGCGAGATCCTGCAGGATCCTGCAGGAGCCTGCACCCAAGCCCAGGTCAATGCACCCCTGGCCCTGCAGGATCCAGCAACATCCAGCGCCCTGACTGACCCCCGTTTGCCTTGACCCCCGTCCCTTGAACCCCGAGCGTTTCGGGCCAGACTTCGGTCGGGCATATCCCCCTACAGGCGCATTTAGGACGATGCAAAAATAATGGAAAAATCATCCCCAGACTATTCTCCCGTAGAGGGACACGCCCGATCGAAGGCCAGACCTCGGGTCTCCAGCGGCCGCTCGGGACGACCTGGGCATCCCATCCCCGGAGCGCCCTCGGCGAGGCGTGGCTGCTGGAGAGCGCCTCGGGGCGAGAAGACCTCCGAGAGCCTCCGAGAACCGCCGATGAGTCCCCCGAGAGCTGTCGAGAGTCGAGAGCCCGAAAGTCGGCGACGAGCGAGGAGGGGAAGGGGGAGAGCGAGACGGGGCGGGCCTTGTCAGAAGGCTCGGAAGACCCCCAGAAGCTTCCCAAGCCTTCCCCGAAGACACTGGAACCCTCTCGGAAGGCGCGAGGGCTTCTGAGAAGTCCCGCCGCCTTCCGAGAAGGCCTTCTCCTTCTCATTTCCTCCCCTTGCTCGCCGCCGAGACAGAGGACCTCAGGAGACCGCCAGCAACCCGCGACCACCACCGAAAGCCTTCGAAGACCGCCGAAAACTGTCAAGAAACCTCAGAGAAAACCCTCGAGCACAGAGGAGCCCTCCGAGAAAGCCCCATCGAGATGCCAGCCGACAGAGATAACCCCGCCGAAAGAAAATGCACTCGATAGAGACGCCCTCCGGGAAGCCCGAGATTCCTGCCGACAGAGAACCCCCCAAGAGCCGCCGCCGAGAAGACCTCCGAGAAAGCCCACCAACCTTAGCTGCCCCGACACGCAACACGCAACCCGTAGCGTGTTGACACGGAGCTCAACACGTAGATTGAAAACTGAAGTCTGGCGCGATGCGGTCGCCAAAACGTGGCCCAAGAAGTGCCGAATCCACACGCAGCGTGTCAACACGGACGTTTTGAACGCGGCACGTGTTGCATATCAAAACGGGCGTATCGAGACAGCCAAGCCACCAAGAAGAGCAGCAAACCAACAACGCCCCGAGAGCCGCCGACGTACCGCCGCGGGCGCTGACGACGACGACGACGACGACGACGACGACGACGACGACGACGAGGACGACGACGACGACGACGACGACGACGACGACGACGACGACGACGACGACGACGACGGCGACGACGACGACGACGACGACGACGACGACGACGACGACGGCGACGGCGACGGCGACGGCGACGGCGGCGGCGGCGACGGCGACGACAACGACGCGGCAGCGACCACGAGGGCTTCTTGCCGCGCGGCGCGGCGCCCTCGGAAGACCTCTCCTCGCGACGCTCGCGAGGCGGGCGCTCCTGGTCGGCGGCGCGGCGCGCGCGCGGCGCAGAGAGCGCGGCGGGCCCTCCAAGGGGCCTGCTGGGAGGTGGGGGGCTCGAGGTTCGAGGGCCGAGGGTGGGGGAGCGCGGAGGGGGAGGCGGGAGCGAGGGAGGGGAGGGAGGGAGAGGAAGGGGGGGAGGGGGGTGAGGAGGAGGAGAGGGAGGGAGGGGGAAGAGGGGGGGGATGGAGGTGGATAAAGGGGAGGGGATATACATATATATATATATATATATATATATACACTAGAACCACCGCGCGCGCTTCGCGCGCGCTCAGGTTCTAGCAGGTCCCAGGCCTTGACGAATTCATTGCCAATCTGCATTCCGAAAGACCTTCGAGGAAAATGGTTGTGTAGGGGGGCGGAGGCCGTATGAATCGGGTTCCCAGAAGGCCTTCTGGGAGCATGGGTTTGGGGGCGTCTTGGGGAGCCTCTTGGGGCGTGCCGTCGTCGTCGTCGTCGTCGTCGTCGTCGTCGTCGTCGTCGTCGTCGTCGTCGTCGTCGTCGTCGTCGTCGTCGTCGTCGTTTCGTCGTCGTCGTCGTCATCGTCGTCGTCTTCGGTTCAAGAGGGCACTTGGGCCAACTTTGTGCGAAACGATCTGCGGAGGGCCGCGAGAAGGCGATCAGACATGTTTCCAATCAACTTCCCAGGCAGCTCTCCTGTAGCATGATGGTACTTCGAAGCCTCCGGAGACTCGCGGGCCCATGATGAACATTGTCCCTGGAAGGCTTTCTGGGGACATGATTTGTTGGGGTGTGTTGGGGGGTCTCTTGGCCGTTCCCTGGGGGCCCCTTGGGGGTCTCCGGGAACTCTCGGGCCCATGATGAACCATTTCCCCGGAAGGTTTTCTGGGGACATGATTTCTTAGGTCTCTTGGGGCTTCCTGGGGGCCTCTTGGACGCCTCACGCGGCTTCGTGGGAGAGTCTTGGTGGCCTCCGGGGGCCTCCAGGCGGCCTCTAGGGCCAGAGACCTCGAAATATCGGTTGGTGGTCCCCCTCTGGGCCCTCTCTTGGGGAGCTCTTGGGGCACAGTTGGGTTGTCTGGGGAGCCTCCTGGGCCGTCTTGGGGCCCTCTTCAGGGCCTCGTGGCCCGTCTTGAAGCGATCTGAAGGGCCTCTGAGCGAGGCCGTGAGGGAGCGCTGGGAAGCGGGGGAAGCAAGAACGCCTAAATCCTTCAGGAGCCATCGGAACAGCAGTGAAGCTTGCCTTCCCGGGCCCTGAAGCGTGTTGGGGAGCCTCTTGAGTCCGTCCTGAAGCGTGTTGGAGTCCTCGTCGGCTGTCTTGAGGGCAACTCGGGCGTCTTCGGGGCCTCGTGGGACCGTCGTGGGCCCTCTCGGGACCCCCTTAGCCTGACGTGGCCTGCTTCGGGGCGGGCTCGGGCCGCCTCGGGAGCTCTGGACCCCCCCACCGCAACCCCCGGTGGGCACCGATGGGGGGAACAGGCAGCGGCCCGCCCCCGCCCCAGGCCTACTCCGAGATAGAGAATCATGTTCCCGGGAAGCTTTCCGGGAGCATGATTTGTTCAGCTCTCTAAGAGGGGGGCCTCTGGGGGCTTACCGAGGGGCGCCTTTTGGCCTTGTCGGCAAGCCTGTTGGAAACATGGTTGGGGCGGTGGGCGGAAGCCCAAGGAATCATGTTCCCGGAAAGCTATCTGGGAAATACGATTTACCGAAGTGTCTTGGGGGCCCGCAAGGGGCTTCCCTGGGGGCCCCTTGGGGGGCCTATTGGGACTTCCGGGGGGCCTCTTGGGAGCCTCACTGGGCTTCTTGGGAGCCTCTTGATGGCCTCTGGGGGCGTCCTAGGAGCCTCTCAGGCCGGAGACTTTGAAATGTCGCGCTCTTCGGGCCCTCTTGGGTCGCTCTTGGGGCTCTCTTGGAGCGCTCTCGAGGCCCTCTTGACTTATCTGGGGAGCCTCCTGGACCGTCTCTGGGCTTTCTTGGGAGCCTCTTCGGCCGTCTTGGAGCGATCTGAAGAGCCTCTGACGCAGTCCGGGACCGTGGGGAGGCGGAACATGGGAGAGCGCAAGAATGCTTCAAAAACCATTGGAAAAATTATGGCTTTCGGCTTCTTGGGCCCTTTGGGGGGGCCTCTGGAGGCGCTCTTGGGGCGTTTTGGTGGCGTCGTCGGCCATCCTGAGGCCATCTTCGGCGTGTCCAGGGCCTCTGGGGGCTGTCTGTGGGCGTCCTGGGAACCCGGGAATGCTTCCGGAAACATGATTTCGAACGAGGCCCTCTTGGGCCTCCCTGAGGCCGTCTTGGGGGCCTCCTGGGCTGGCTTTGGGGCCTCTTGGGCCGTCTTGGGGGGGGTCCGTGAGCCCCACAGGGCGACCCTTTTGGGCCGTCTTGGGCCCTCTTGGGTCTCTCTTGGGCTGTCTTGGGGCTCCGCGGGGGCGTCTGGGGCACTGCGAAGACGAAGCAAGGGAATATGCTGAACATGAACGTTTACTACGGGGACGGGCCGATTTTTGCCTCTTGAAGGCCATCTTGGGGCCCTCTTCGGCCATCTTGAAGCCAACTCGGGCCATCTTGGGCCTCGCTGAGGCTGTCCTGGGGCCCTCTAGGGGGCCCTGGGAACCCAGAAGTCATGTTCCCCGAGAGGTTTCCGGGAACATGATTTCGAACGAGGCCCTCTTGGGCCTCCCTGAGGCCTCTTGGGCCGTCTTGGGGGGTTCCGTGAGCCCCACGGGACGACCCTTTTGGGCCGTCTGGGGCCCCCCTGGGTCTCTCTTGGGCCTCGCTGAAGCTGTCCTGGGGCCCAGTATGGGGCCCTGGGAGCCCGGAAGTCATGTTCCCGGCGAGGCTTCCGGGAACATGATTTCGAACGGGGCCCTCTTGGGCCTCCCTGAGGCCGTCTTGGGGGCCTCCTGGGCCGACTTCGGGGCCTCTTGGGCCGTCTTGGGGGGGGTCCGTGAGCCCCACAGGGCGACCCTTTTGGGCCGTCTTGGGCCCTCTTGGGTCTCTCTTGGGCTGTGTTGGGGCTCCGCGGGGGCGTCTGGGGCACTGTGAATACGAAGCCAGCGAGTATGCTGAACATGTCCGTTTAACTACGGGAAATGGGCCGATTTGTGCATCTTGAAGGCCCTCTTGGGGCCCTCTTCGGCCATCTTGAAGCCATCTCGGGTCCTCTGGGGCCTCGCTGAGGCTGACTTGTGGGCCTCTTGGGCGTCCTGGGAGCCCAGAAGTCATGTTCCCCGAGAGGCTTCCGGGAACATGATTTCGAACGAGGCCCTCTTGGGCCTCCCTGAGGCCGACTTGGGGGCCTCCTGGGCCGGCTGTGGCGCTTCTTGGGCCGTCTTGGGGGGTTCCGTGAGCCCCACGGGACGACCCTTTTGGGCCGTCTTGGGCCCTCTTGGGTCTCTCTTGGGCTGTGTTGGCGCTCCGCAGGGGCGTCTGGGGCACTGTGAAGACGAAGCCAGCGAGTATGCCGAAAGTGTACGATGTACAAAGGAAACGGGCCGATGTTTGCCTCTTGGGGCCCTCACGGGCCCTCTTGGGGCGCTCTTGGGCGTCTTCGGGGCCTCTTCAGGCTTTCTTGACCATCTGTACGGCCCGCGTGGCCTGTCGTGGGCAATTTGGAAGCGGCCCGGGGCAATCCCGGGGGGTCTGTGACCCCCCAAAGGTTCGGGGGGGCGGCCATGGGGGATGACGGCACCGATTTTGGCCCCTCCCCCCGGCCTACTCACATAAATATATATATATATATATATATATATACATACATACATACATACATACATACATGCATACATACAAATATACATACATACATAGATTCATACTCTCATTCATGCATGCATGCATGCATGCATACATGCATACAAACATGCAGACGTATATATATATATATATATATATATATATATATATATATGTACGTACAAACATACATACATACACACATACAAACATACAGACATGTAAACATACATAAATCAACTCACCAATACATCAATACCTCCGAACATGCATGCATGCATACATATATGCATTTCTACGTTAGCGTGTATGTATGTATGGTGGACTGGAAGGATGGATGTATAGTTGTATGCATATATACATATATATGTGTATGGGGGTATGTGTGTATGTATGTGCATGTGTGTATGTGTGTACGTGTGTATGTATGTATGTAGGTAGGTAGGTAGGTGGGTAGGTAGGTAGGTAGGTAAGTAGGTAGGTTGGTATGTGTATGTATGTGTGCCTGTGTGTATGTTCGTATGTATGTACGTATGTATGTATGTATGTATGTATGTATGTATGTATGTGTGCATGTATGTATGTTTGTATGTATGTATGTATATTTGTATGATGTATGTATGTATACGAGCGTGCATGTATGTATATGTTCATGGATGGATGCGACCTTGTATGTAGGTAGGTAGGGATATATGTATTGGGAGGGAGGGATGGATGGATGGGTGGATGGATGTGTTTGTATGTATGTATGGATGCATGCATGCATGCATGCACGAATTTATGTATGTGTGTGAGAGGTTGTGTTATGGTTGTGCGTACGCATGGTTGTGTACGCATGTATGTATATGTATATGGTTGCATGCTGGTATGTAGGAATGGATGTCGGTATGTCTGTAGTGTTGTATGTTTGTGGGTGTGTATGATTGTATGACTGTATGTAGGTATGTGTGTATGTATGTATGTATGAATGGATGGATGGATGGATGGATGTTTTCTGGCGGCTCGGCGGCGACTCGGAGCTCCCTGGGCTGGTCTGGAGCACCTCTGGAGCCCCCGGATCATGGGTAAAACATGCGATTCACGGCAAAACGCGCTAAGTCATTGCTCCCCTCGGTCGGCGGCAGAGGCGGCAGCCTTTAGATATGTCTGTATGGATGCACGTATGTATGTATGTATGTATGCATGCATGTATGTATGTATGTATGCATTTATGTGTATGTCTATGTATATACACAGACGCATACGGGCGAGGGTCGAGGGAGAAAGAGGAAGAGGGATGTCAGAGTGGTGTGCGGGGAGGCTACAAGGACGAATGGTTGTTCAACAGCAACGTCGCTTACTCGCCAGCATAAGTATACTAACCACGGGGAAGGCAGAGATTGAACATTCCTCTCCCTCTTTTGCTGCTTGGGACCCTTGCCCCACGCTGCACGGCCAGCACCAACGATCTCACGCCAGCAACACTGTTCCCCAAAAATTCCCTGAGGCTGCCACCCGTGCTCTGGCAGTGGCAGTCGAGACAGACGCGCAGGAAAGAGCCACCTGAGCAATCCATGAAAGCACAACCATAATTATTTTGAGCGACTACATCCGTGCAGAGACGGGCGACCGAAGTGCAGCCTGGGCGCAGGAGGCCATCACCCAACTTCCCTTGTAGACACACATGGCAACTAAAAAATCATGCACGAGACCAGGCAAGGCTGAGAGCTTGGGGAGAGGCTTCACATATTCAACCTCTGAAAGGTCACAGCGCGGCCACAAACAGAGGAGCCTCGCGGCTAGCATAACGACAGCACGTGAAAGGTTTGACCTACCAGCTGATTCGGTCCTTGACTTTGGGGTCGGATTTCATGTGCGCATCTGCCCCCAATTGCACCGCCAGCGCGCATGCGAGCAAGCGAGCAACGCACCGTGCCTGGGAGAACCAATGTGCCTGCGAATGCCACCCTATGGCCGCTGCTGCGCAACAGTGGTGCGCGTGAGCGCTGCGACCGCCCATTGCTGCGCGGCTCTTGTGCACAACTCGCACGCTGCGGCAGTGGCAAGGGAGCGCTGCGCTGGAGGCAGAGGTCGAGGCGCTCTTTGGGGATTGGGGGGGCGTTAAGTGCGGGGGGCGGAGGCTGTGGTGGTGTTCAGCCCTGAACGCCTGCGCTGGCGACGCCGCTGCGTCAAGGCGGTGCGAACCTGCCGCGCATGTGTGTTATCACCCTGGGCCACAGGCACCATGTGCACGCCGTATCGCGTGCGCAAGGTCGCGCGGTATCCCGCGCTGACCCGTCTGTAGCGAGCGCCGCACGGGGGCGCAGTAACGCGCGCGCGCTATGGCCCAGCATACCCCCAAAAACAAACACCAACGAGGCGAGCGGAGCGACGGGGCCAGCGTCCTTCGAGCGCTGCGCGGCCTCCCTCGCCGGGCGCTGCGAGGAGGGCGGGGCCGAGGCGGCCGGCGTCTCGCCGCGCGGCTCCGCCGACGCCTGTCGGACGAGGGAAGGGGGGAGCATGGAGGGGCCACTGTGGGGGGGGGGGAAGGGGGCTCCGCCTCCCTCGGATCCTCCCTCCTCCGCCCCTCCCCCCCCACCCCTGGAGCTCCGCTGGACTCCCCGCCGCCCCTGCCCCCTCCCCCCCTCGCACTGCACCCCTTCGCCGTCCGCTTCTGCCCTCCCACTTCCGCTCTGTTGGGGTAGCAGGAGCGAGGGGGCTGCGGGGGCCAGAGAGGGAGGAAGCGGAGAGGGTGGGGCCGAGGGGGGCCGACGAGGAGACCGAGCGGAAGGCCAAGGTGGAGGTCAAGGGGCAGACCGAGGGGGGAGAGGCAGAGGGGCGGGGCGGGGCCGAGAGGGAGGGGGCGAGGGGGAAAGGCCGAGGGGGAGGCAGACTGGGAAGGGCTGATGTGAGAGGCGGCGGGAAAGGAACGGGAAGGCGAGGGGTCCTCCGAAAGCCATCTCCTGTACGATATGACCTCTTTCGCCGACACCCTCTCCTAGAGTATCACATGCTTGGAAATACTGAAATACTAAAACAACAGAAAAGGAGTGAAACGACTATGATACAGTGGAGGGCAACGCAACTGTTGGTTACAAGTGCTCAGCTGATATATCCAGGACCGTTTGCTTATGCTCGCTTCAGCTGCGCGAAGTAGCACATCTTTCGTAAACACGTAGCGCACAATATCCCCGTCACGAGCACACCAACTAATCCGTCGTTACGGGGTTTATGCGTGTGTGTGTGTATCCGTATACTACTTCATATACGATTTGTACATGCAACTATGCTGAAAGATGTATGCATGCGTGTGCTATCCAGCGTAGACCGCAATCAGTGAGTTATTGCACTGTGGAGGTGCATCCTACGAGGCGAAATTACGTGGTACGAGCTATGCTGTGTAAGCTATGTGGTGTGAGTTATGCTGTGGAAGCTATGGTGTGATATGCATAAGTACGAGCTCTGTCGTGTAAGATATGCGGTGCACGCTCAGACTCTGTAGTGTAAGGTTTGTGGTGCTCGCTGTGTTGTGTAGATGACGCGGTGTGAGATATGCGATGTGAGCGACCCACCCAGGGCACGGGGTGCCCACGAGCGCCCACGAGGCGGCACGGGCGCGAACGTGGCGAAACCTCGGCGGACCCACCCAGGGCACGCGGCGCCCAAGAACGCCGACGAGGCGTCACGAGTGGGAACGTGGCAAAACCTCGGCGGACCCACCCAGGGCATGGGGCGCAAACGAGGCGGCACGGGCGCGAACGTGGCGACACATCGGCGGACCCACCCAGGGCAAGGAACGCCCACGAGCGCCCACGAAGCGACACGGGCGCGAAAGTGGCGAATCCTCGGCGTACCCGTCCAATTACTTAGGTAATACAAGTAAGAGCTTCTCAGTGCAAGCACTACTTGGATATATGCTCAGACATCGCGAAAAAATGCACCGTTGTTGCTGAAACGGCGCTTAACACCTCAGCGCAAAGGGGTGAGGCAGAAGAGGAAGGGGAGGAGGGCGGAGGTCGGAGGTTGGGGGTGAGATCGAAGTGGAACGGAGAGCCCCCCTACCAGGAAATCGATGTCGGTTTCGTGTTCGTGCCGTGCGTGCGGGCGGGGCGAAGCTACGTGGGCGAGGGAGAGGAAATTATCCTGTGGCTGGGCCGCGGCTGGACCAAAAGGTTCTCCGCCCGGCAACCGGTGGCGCGCGGTGTCCCGCCGGTGTCCGGCTGGTGTCCCGCTGGTGTCCCGCCGGTGCCCCGTCGTGGCTGGGCCGCGGCTGGACCAAAAGGTTCTCCGCCCAGCAACCAGTGGTGCGCGGTGTCCCGCCGGTGTCCCGCTGGTGTCCCGCTGGTGTCCCGCCGGTGTCCCGTCGTTGTCCCGTGGTGTCCCGTGGTGAGATTGACAGTGAGATCGATAGTGAGATCGATAGTGAGATCGATAATATGACCGATAGTGAGATGGATAGTGAGATCTATAGTGAAAGATCGATAGTGAGATCTATAGTGAGATCGATCGTGATATCGATAGTGAGATCGTTAGTGTGATCGATAGTGAGATCGGTCGAGTGGGATCGATAGCGAGATCGATAGTGGAATCGATAGTGAGATGACTAGTGAGATCGAAAGCGCGATCGATAGTGAGATCGATAGCGAGATCGATAGTGGGATCGATAGTGGGATGGATAGTGAGATCGACAGTGAGATCGATTGTGTCCCGTCGGTGTCCCATCGGTGTCCCGTCGGTGTCCCGTGGTTTCACGTGCTGAGATCGATAGCGATCGGAGGTTGGGGGGTGAGATCGAAGTGGAACGGAGATACCCCCACCGGGAAATCGGTTTCGGTTTCGTGTTCGCGCGTGCCGTGCGTGCGGGCGAGGCGAAGCTGCGTGGGCGGGCGAGAAGAAAGTCTCCTGTGGCTGAGGCGCGCCGGACCAAATGATTCTCCCTCCGGCAAGCAGTGGCGCGCGGTGTCCCGCCCGTGTCCCGCCGGTGTCCCGCTTGTGGCCGAGCCCCGGCCAGACCAAATGATTCTCCCTCCGGCCAGCGGTGGCGCGCGGTGTCCCGCCGGTGTCCCGCCGGTGTCCCGCCGGTGTCCCGCCGGTGTCCCGCCGGTGTCCCGGTGTCCCGGTGGTGCGAAAACGATAGTGAGACCGATGATGAAATCGATTGTGAGATCGATTGTGAGATCGATAGTGAAACCCATAGTGAGATCGATCGTGAGATCGATAGTGAGATCGATAGTGAGATGAATAGTGATATCGATTGTGAGATCGAGTGATATCGATAGGGAGATCGTTAGTGAGATCGATAGCGAGATCCAGAGTGAGATCGACAGTGAAATCGATCGAGTGAGATCGATAGAGAGATCGATCGAGTGAGATCGATAGTGAGATCGATGATCCCATCGATCGTGAGACCGATAACGGCATCGCTTGCGAGATCGATAGACAGATCGATAGTGAGATCGATGGTGAGATCGATAATAAGGCCGATAACGACATCGCTTGTGAGATCGGTAGAGAGATCGATAGTGAGATCGATTGAGTGGGATCGATAGTGAGAGCGATAGTGAAATCGATCGAGTGAGGTCGATAGTGTGATCGATCTAGTGAGATCGATTTTTACCGGGGGAGAATGATACCAAGGCGCCCAAGAGTGAAGGATAACGTAAACAACTCGACACCAAGGCTCCCAAGAGCGAGTGAAAACGCAACAATCACCACTGTTGCCCATTGCTGGCCCCCCTCTCCCCCCCACCTCCTTTTCACCCGCAGGGTGGTCGTATAGGTACGGTATCGGAGATACCGGGCAACAGCATGCCTGCCTGGTTCCACAGCAAGCTGCTGGTCTTGGGGTGGACGAAAGGGAGGGTAGCACAAGCAGGTTAAGCGAATCAGCTGCACGTAGCTGGTTTCCCCGCGCCTCCCGGCACCGGAGGCGCCCGCCATGCATCCCAGTGAGGGAAGCGCCCATCGGTGGAGCTCAAACCAGCTGCATCCAGCAGCCTGCACACCTTCCCCTTTTCTGACACCTCCCCCTTCGTCCAACTCCCAGGCCATGCCAAGGGGGGTCCACCCCCCCCGGAAGCCCCAGAGACGCTCGAAAGCATCCCAAACCTCCTCGATCCTCGAGTCTCCATCCTCCTCGACCCTCCATTTCAACAAAGAGCCCTCCTTGGCACTGCCTGAAGCCTGGTGGCCCCACCTTCAATCTTTGACCGGGGTGGGCACGGGGAAGGCGTACCAAACCTCGAGCTAGCACGGCGGAGTAGTCCGCGCTGGGCACCAGAGCTCCGAATCGGGGCGAAATGGCCCGCACTGAAAATAATGCAACGACCGAATCTCAGGGACCTTCGGGCACAAACAAGAGTGACCGTGGGCAAGGGTGACCTTTGTTGCACGGCCTGCCGCTCACTGCATGCGATGCGAGAGCAGCGGCCTGCGTGCTTGGGATTCACCCCCCCATGCCCCAGGCGCCCGAGACGCCCCCCGAAAGCCGCCTTCCAGGCCAGAACTCGGGTCTCCGGCGGCCGTTCGGGACGATTCGGTCATCCCCGAAGGGCTCACTGCGAGGCGCAAGTGCCGAACGCAACCCGAGGAAGGAAAACCTCCAGGAACCTACGATGACGCACGAAAGCGTAGGAACAAAAATCATGCTTGAATAGCGAGTTTCAACGATCAGCGATAACGGCCTCTACTGGCCCCGAACGTCCCCCCTGGTAACGTCACACTTGGCGCCAGCGCCGTCTTTGGATGCCTCGAAATATAGCGAAGGACAGCCAGGGCCAGCATGTACGTAGGGATCTGCCAGGGATGCAGGGGCACAGTGGAAGGGATTGCTGAGAGTAGCCACGAGCAGCAGACGTAGCGCGTGTGCGCGCCACAGTATACCTGGGGAAGAACCTCTCGAGTACACCACAAAGCCTGTGTACACAATGCCTGCGTACACTACAATGCCTGAGTGCGCCGCGTGCACCACAGCGCCTGTGAACCCCAGCGCCCGAGTGCACCACAGCGCCTGTGAACACCATATCACTTGCGTGCACGAGTGGGGGGCTGTGAAAAACAATACAGTATGCCTGGGGAAGAACCTCTCGAGTACACCACAACGCCTGTGTACACAATGCCTGCGTACACTACAATGCCTGAGTGCGCCGCGTGCACCACAGCGCCTGTGAACCCCAGCGCCCGAGTGCACCACAGCGCCTGTGAACACCACATCACTTGCGTGCACGAGTGGGGGGCTGTGAAAAACAACGCCTGCGTACACAAGAGTGCCTGCGTACAGCACACTGCCTCTGTACACCATAATGCCTGTGTTCACAGAAGCGCTGGTGTACACCAACGCGCGTGTAAATCGCAGGGCCTGTGTGCACAACCATGCCTGCGCACACCATAGCATCTGTGTGCAACGCAGTACGTCTCTACGCCACGCTACCCGTGTACACCACAATTCTTGTATACCATCGTGCGTATGTACGCCTCAATGGTTGTGCACATCCCA